TCAATCATCAAACCGGGGGTCATATTTCATTATGTGTTCATTTTTATCTGAAGTTGTAACCATGGATGTATAAAGAAGAGTTCTACCGCAAAGTTATTCTCCGGCAACAATCTTGATTCTGATTGGCCAGAAGACTCGAAAAACCATCAGCAAAGATGTTTTATTGAGAAGATGATCACTACTTGACAGAAGTTTTCAAAACCGTTTATGGTCTCCGGTACTTCCAGTCCAACGCCTACTGCATGCACAGCGTTAGAAAATCAGGCCTTCAAAATAAAAAGATCTTTTTTTTTTCTTATATAAAAAATAAAAATAAAAGAAGATTAAAAGTCTGATATAAAAGTTTGCGTTATTTTAAGCTCTAATGGCCATACTCCCAATCATACAGATTATTTTATTTTTTCTTTAGGAGCTGAAGTTAAACTTCCAACATTTGAAACAAAATTGGGATGTAAAAAAAAGTCCTTAGTGAGGCGCAAGGGTACCTGCTGATGATGAGACTCCACCTCTTCTTGTCTGTTGAGTATGGACTCGGCGTGGCCCAGCAGTTGTTTATCACAATTTTGAATCTGAGAGGTTCAGCAAATGATAATATAAAGTATCCACTCTGTATGGAACATAAACTAGATGTCAGGAAAATGTTGAAATGTGTTATACCTGTTACTTAGTCCTTTGGCCTCGATGCCAATGAAGACTTCAGAGCCGATCTCAGACGTTTCGATCACATAGGGAGCATCTTTGGCATACAGGAACTTTGAATTCTACAATATATATATTTATATTTTATATGTTTTATTTTTTTATTTGACCGTGCCTGACAATCTTTTATTTGCATGTATCTAATGACTATAACCTGCCACTGGAAAAACTAAATCTGTGAACTGCTACTCACCGTGAAAACAGTCATGGACAACTGTGACCTAAAAGTGCCTAAACTCCCGTTGTTGACATAAACTGTTGCCACTCTGAAAAAAGCAGAGGGTTTAGTAAAAACACTGCAAGTCATTGGGTTAGAATGCACTCATCGTCTGCACGGTAACAGATGTCGCCTTGTGTCGTGTATCGATGCTTACCTTTGGCTGAACACTGCGTTATTAACCAGGTAGGCAGCTCGGTACATGCAGCTGAAGTTGTAGTTCACCGGCTGGTTTCTGACCGTGAGCGACGTGTCGTTGGACACAATGGAGTTATAGAAGACGTACTTAGGGTCTTTGCCAGGTATGTACTGTGAAAAATCCACATTAGAGAGACACAATTATAATTTACATTTTTGAAACAAGACTTTTGAAATGTACAATTTGTAATTTCTGCCAATAGGGGTCTCTCAATCAAAACTAAAGAAACATTGAGTTTGGGAGTTGTTGTCTTCATAAGCTTCTCATGGTTTCATTTTAAACATCTGTGTTCTCTAATGCTGTTTGCTCAGCTTGTTTTAATAATAGATTAGGATGCAGACGTCTGATGACCGAAAATCTTAATTCTGGTAAAAATATATAGTTTAAACTGATCAAGATCTATAAATTGTAGCGTAAAAGATTTTTCTTGAACATGGTTACAAAGTCAAATTGTGACAGCTTCTGGAAGACTACCACTGGGCAAGAAAACAACAACTATCACCATAATTATAGGTACTAGAGGTATTGTATCTCACCTCAGAGTGCGTGCCACAGTACGAGTGGTTTTTGGGAGTCAGGTCTGGGATGATAAAGCGGTAGTAGCCTGGGCTGTGTATTCCAGAGTAACAGACTCCACCCAGGGACAGCTGTTCGATCTCCCAACCGTAGGGACACTCTGGGACGTTGGCAATGATGGCGTTGGGGAAACATGACACCATCACGTAGTCTGAAATAAGATACAATCATAGAGATACACTTTGTTAATAATAATTTGAATCATCACTTAAACACTTTTATATTTAGCCTGAAACTTACTTTAGTTAAAACTAGGAATATTAACTTAATATTGTCAGTCTAGTATTTCTATTGCTGCTTCTTCTACTCTGTATATACAAATTGACTTCATTCCATTTACTCTTTTTTCCAATAAACGTTTTTTTTTCCTGATCCGAATGGAGGGTCTAAAGATCTGAAGATTTAGTATGATAAGGGTTACATGTTACAACAATAAACTTCCAATGAACCTGAACAATCTTTGATCCACAGGAATATTTGTGGATGTTATGTGATAAATAAGATGTTACCTGCTTTTTGGGGAGAGCATGTCCACGCAACAGGCAAAAGCATTAACAATGCACCCACAGAAGCCATGATGTGATACTGCAGATAGATTTAAGAAAATATTTATAGACAGAATATTCAATAAATAATTATTTAAATCTGTCATTGTAAAAGAGACTCACCTGTAAAAAGAAAGAAAAAGTTGACTCCAAATTTGAAAAGTCTGATGTCAAAGTATCTTCATGGCTCTTCAACAAACTACAGCATGAGTGCTTCTATAACATCTTGACATCTTCAGGAGGTTTTATAGCATCACAAGTGAGTGTAATCAACTCTCCCCCATTCTCTCCTATCTCAACTTCTCCCCCCTTAAGGTTTAAGAGCTCTTTTGTGAGGCTGCTCACAAAAGCTCTCTGTGCTGCTCAGACATTCACTTTTAAATGACCAGTGTCTCTCAGGATTACCTCTCAGAGGGCTTAAAGTAACTTTTTCTAGAATTAGGCATAGAGGAAAATGTGTTAATTTTACGATGAACAGCCTACATTTATGACTTTCAAGATTAATGTATTTCACTTTTTAACGAGCATCTTCAGTGTGGCAGATACTGGACTTTAAGCTCAATGTTGAGCTTATAGAATGTTCTTGTGTAAAAAAGGTCTATTTTTAAAATGCTACAGTATATTTTAGTTTTATCCATGTCAAAGTGCTGTAAAAAATGGTTTGTTCATATATTCAATCTTGGAAATATTCTCAATCAGTTTCTATTGTAAAAAGGAAGATCAATGTATATGCTACTACTGGTTAGCTTAGCATAGCAAAATACTGAAAGGCGGAAACAGCTTCCCTGGTTCTGTCCAAAAGGGAACAAAATCCAGCGACTTGCACCTATCAAGCTCAGAAATTAACAGGTTATTATTTATTTTAAACAATGAAACCATGTTATAAAATGGATAACCTGCTATTTTAATTGGGTTTATTTCTTGGCTGGGACCACTAACTTTCTTGTGTTGAACAACAAATAAACCCAAACACACATTTTTTTTGAGTGAGTTTTAGACCCCGTCCACACGGAGACGAAACGGGTTGTATCCGCTACAGTTCTCTGACGTATAGACGGTTCGTCCACACGAGGCCGACACGGAAACGCGGATAACGATAACGGCTATGATACAGATGTTAGTGCAAAATCTACAGCTCCTCTACCACAACCATCAGCAACAAGTGGACATGGAGAACTACATGAACTACATGTTGCTAAATCCACCGCGGAGAATAAATAGAAGGGCAACCAAGCAACCATGGCAACCATGGCATATGTACTACAGCGTCTCCAGTGGGTCAAGCGGTCTCGTGTGTACGGACACGTTTCTTGAGCCGATTCCGTGTGGACGGAAAACTATTTTTATATCGAATTCGGTTAGTTTTCGTCACCGTGTGGACAGGGTCTCAGATGTGCTGGTAGGTCGACATGGTCTGGCAAGATGTGTCCCACTGTTTCCAGTCTTTATGCTAATCTAAGCTAAACGACGGCTGCCTGAGCCATTAAACTATCTCTTTAACATATATCTCTTGAGATACAACATATGTTTTACAAGAGACACATAAAAAAGCTTTGCTGTACATTTGTTTATGTCACAGATAGGCCTTGTGTCTTTTCTTTGTCCTCTTGAAAAAAAAGAGAAGCATTTAAGTAGCTAAATAGTGCAAACAGACATGTATGGTTACCTTCTGTAAGAGATGGCAGCTCAGATAAGGGCAGGCATACACTACTGAGTGACTAGTGTTCTACAGTGGAGATGATAGGCCTGTGTTTTACACCATTCAGTAATATAGGGTTTCTCAGTCTTGTGCGATAAGCTATCTCTTTTGTGTCGCCAACATCAGGTATGTGTGTAAAGCGTGTTCTCATGGCTTGTTTACATAATTTGTATTGGATGTATCATTCTGCCTACAGCCTCAGATGGATGTCATATTTCAGTTCCCAGTTTTTCATGGTTTGATATATTTGCTAAATCAGCCATTTTTAAGAAATTCAAACAGCTGGTAACTAAAGTTGCTCAAGGGAAAAGTTAGATAGTATGCCTCAAATGCACTAATAACGCTTTAAATATTTGCTGTTTTGACATGCACTTCCCTTCACAGGATCAAATAACTCCTTGCAAAGACTTAATGATGAGAGCTGTAAAACGATAGCAGAAAAGGTTAGACACTAATGCCCTTCATAGAACAATTCAAGTCAGCCCGCAATTGAAGAGGCAAGCTGCAGAGAATTAGCATCTGAATAGAGCGACAGGGGAGTCGGTAAGGAAGATACCGATCTAAGAACGGGCCAGGAGACAGCTAGCTTTACAGCGCCTTTTTTTGGGTTGTTTCTTTTTTATGTAACCCTGCCTGCTTAACAAAAAAAGGCTCAGTCCTTGTTAAATTTCAGTGACATCTTTAGAGTATGAAATATTAACTTTCTTGAAAGATGTCACAAACAGCTTTATTAAATTCAGCAACTAATGGATTATGAATATGATAAATGGGGGGAAAGTATCAAAACTATCTTGAGCTATGCTTGTCTATGTAGTTTTGAAGCTAAGTTAAGTCATTGGTCTAACACTAGATTAAAGTAAGTGGCAAAAGTCCTGTATTGTGTTTGTAATAATTACCATCAAATAAACCTTCTAGGTGTATGTTCACCACAAGAGAGCAGCAAAACCTTTTATATACATTTTCTTATGTGTATGATTATTGATTATGGGCCATCTGTGCAGCTTGAAAATGAAGTGATTTCAGTAAAAAAAATGGTTTTAATTAAAATGGTAACAGACACTTAAAATAGATTTAATCAAAGATCCTTTAATGCATGAGGAAGGGAACTTATGGCATTGTTAAGCTAGATACAGTAGTGCTTTTGTCAACAATTACAAAATGAAATAATTATAAAAACATCCTTGCTGTAAGACTCAAATAAGAAATCTATCTTTAGAAAAACATACACTTTTTTATATATACAACCATATACAACATATTTACACAATAAATAGCTTTAAGGATAATTCTGGCTTTAGGATTTGGGAACTTGGCAGGTCCAACTTGATCGTTCTGGGTGGTAAATAAAATCTATCCTGTAAGACAAACAAAATGTGGTTAAAACAAGAAAACAGGTCATTTATTATCATCTTAAAAAACAAGTGTTTTAGAAACATGTTGCTCAGATTATAAAGGAACATTGGTCCTTGAAATACCCATTACTCCTATCAAGCGTGTTAGTAAACAATAATGACAGTTTCCATACAAAAAGGAAATAATACAAAAAGTGTACCAATGCTCGTCAAAATAAAAACTGCGTCGTTGGAATGTAACTGCCGACAAAACTTCACAAATGTTGTCTAAAAAATGTTTTTCGAAGGATTTAACTGCTTTTTTTTTTGCTTTATCTCAGCTGTCCTTGGAGCTGTTTTAATAACATCCATCCATTAGCTTGACTTTTTTCCAGCTGTGAAAAGTTCCCCCGTTTCCTTTGTGCAATGCACTTTGGGATTATAATGTAAACCGATAGCATTCCGAAAAATGAGGTTGTATTCGTGTGTATGGCGACTGTTTTGAGTATTCTTTTCATGAACACAATACCAACAACCTTTGCTGTGTCCCAGTCTTACAAAATGTAAACAAATGGCTCGAAATACGCAGCACCTGCATGGTTTTATGCTCTAATTAAGTGGTGCAAATTCCCTAACAAATTATCACCACTACAGGCCCTGGAGTCTTTTGTTTTTTTGAGTAAATAATTTAAGATGAAAATTATTTGAAGATTGATTTGCTGAACTTACTCTCTTTGTTGTGAAGCTCCGTTTTTTCGACACAGTAGCCCCTCATCACATGGACAAATCTGGTTTATGCTGAATGCCAAGCCGCCATCGGGAACAAAACAGCTCGCGCTACGGATCAGACGTCTCTTACACACCTGCTCACCGTGGTGTCGAGCACAGCACATAGAATCCCCACAATCCCTATCAACTTTACATCTGGCACCTGGGTGAAGGGAAACATCAGTTTATTTTAGATCCAGTTGTTTAGAAACTCCAAACTGACAATGACAATGTATTAATGTTTCATATTAGTCTTAGCTTTTGCACTCTTACCCTCTTGTCCATTGGGAATACTGCGGTGGCACTTTCCAAACATGCAGCTGAGTCCACGGACACACTGGGCATCCCTCCGACAGTAGTGGCCCTCCCCTCGTAGGGGAACACAAAGGCCAAAGTGACGATCGCAGGAGAAACCGCGCCCACAGGCCCTGTCATGGTCGCACACAGCCTGGGGGAAAAAACAAGGGGAATGTTAAAACTTTACAGAGACTTATGTTGAAAGTTGTAAAAAATCCTGAACATGGAATTATTAGACTTAATGGTCTTTAACAATTTACAGCACAAGTTATATATTAGTAGGGAGAGTTAACACTGATTATTACTATATTCTCTAAACAATGAGTTTCTGAGCTTTCTGAGAATATTTTACTGCAAAAAAATAGAAAAGCATATAAGCTCTGACCAACACTACCCCTTTAAATAAATCGATTTGTATTGCTATTATAACAAATATCTTAAATATAGCTCAAAAGAACGCTTACGATTTCTAAGAAGATTAAATAAAGGTTTGAATTTCATTATAGTAAGTAGCACAATATCCAGTATCTTACCGTAGTTGCTTTGGGTAAAGCAGCGCTGTCTCTAAGGGCTTTTGATCCCTCCTTGGGAGGGCCGTGAGGCATGTTGAGCATCCAGGCCCATATACGAGTTTCAGCCCATGAGAAGCAGAGACACAGGCAGAGCATCCTCAGATTGCCCAACATTTCCACCAACAAATTAAAAGAAATAAAAGCTTGTGAGACTGAAAACTAGGTGACTCAAAGTAAAGATGATTCACTTGTTTAGTATGAGAAATAAAAATCCAAAGTCTAAAAGTCCCAGTAAATGTGCAAAGAGTCTACAGTGATCGACGCAGTGACATTGGTGGCCTCCTCTTCCAGAGTGACTTTTATAGGTCACTGTGGCTAAACTTCCCCCCCACCGGGCTGTTTGTTAAAGAAAAACAGGGTAGGAGGAGACAATTAGTTGTTAATGGATAACTAAATTGCCCGGGTCACCCCCCGCAGCTAGAAAATAGTGGCAAAATGACCAGTCGTGGAGCAGGGAGAAAGGGAAAGAGGGGAGAAAGGGGGCCGGCTGGAGATGGATGGACGTGATGGGCTGACAACGGTTGCATACAATAGAGACGAGACAAGCATCACCTCTGTGTGGTTATCTCTGCCAGACAAACAAATTAGGACAAAGGCAGACAAATGCATGACATGTTTCACTGCTCACTGAGTGACAGGTAGAGCCTATGTGGGCCCAGGCCCCCAAACACTGGGCAAACACTCCTCCACTGCCTCGTTGCCCCCTACCTTATCCCACTTCAGACCCCATGCTGAGAGCAATTTGCAGAAGTGCACTCTACAGACGACCCCATGATCTCATTAAATGTAATTACCATCAGCCATTAGTTGTCGGGGGAAAAGGGGAGTGTGTGGAGGGGATCCACAAGTTGCTCGAGTAAAACACATTCATTTTTGCACTTTTTTTCTCCACAACTTCAGATTATTTGTACTTGTCAAAAAGAAAAACAATATAAACTATTGTAGCAAAAAAATGATTAATAACATTTTCAAATGTCATAAATGCAAATGTATGATCATGTGACTGTTTGAAGGGGAAGGTTTTAGAAGTATTTTAACAGTATAGCTTGCCCAAAAAAACAGAAGATCATATTTTCACCAAACAAAAGTAAGACATATTTATTCGACTTGCAAGATTGACTGTTTGTCTTTCAATCATACTGTGTTTCTTTTACACTGTGTATGACTTCCTTCCCGCCCCAACTGAATCTCATCTGCTATACAGCTTTCTCATAACAAGTGGGTGTAATTTATGACATCCTTTACAGCTGTTCTTTCATCTGAAAAGACTGAGTAGGTGGAAAGGTAGTGAAGAGAAGACTGAAAATAAATCAGGACTGCCTGGCTGATAAGAATGATGAATCGATGAGTTTGAAAGTTTACCGGACACCAAGATGCAGCATAGGTGTTTATAATAACACTTTTCTCCGCAGTTTTCCGGAAAGATTGTGAGTTTTACTTACTCTTAGTTTATAAAAGGTTTTTGGCCATTTTAAAACGACAAATCAGAGTCACTTAATAAATACAGTCACAGGTCTATGAGCCTATTTTAGATATTTAGCACATCATTAAGACCCTTCAAATCCTCTTTCTAGCTCTACAGGACATTTCACACCGTTTATGTTTCAGCTTTTCGCCAAGTATTGTTTGAACATGTGAGTGGCTTTAAACTGTCTATGCAGGTGAAGTACCATATGCTCATGATATAGCATGGTGGAAGTAACTGTTCAATGTTGGATACAGATCTGGTAGTTAACCTGAAAAGATCCACAATGTGCTACAGAGCTAAAAACAGCTGTGGAAATGAATATATGCTTTCATTGACCATGAAAAAGTACTTTACAGCCAAGATTTTCTTTATTTCTTTGCGTAATATAGATTAAAACATTCTTAATAAATATAAGAAAACTATAAACCTTTATTAATTGGTCAATATGAAACCAAAAAAATGAAGGAACTGAATACTGAAGGCATCTTTGCCAAGGATTTTTCTCCTTGTATGGCCATGCCAAGGCTCTGTACAACACTTCGTCTCATTCAGGGGGAGTCAAGCCTTCAGGCTGGCATTAGACCCAATACCTATATCACTTTACAATGAACTTTACATTCAGTTTCGTCAGCATTCAGTATTTTGGCTCAGACATACAGTAGATGCCTGGATAATTGTTAGTAATTGACATGTTCTTAGTGGCAGACAGCACAGATTGGTTACATAGATACTGCAGGGTCTGCACGTATCTCATCTGCAAGTAGTTAAGTCTTATCAAAACAGCCTAACACAGACTAATGACGTAATTGGTGGTCAATTAGTAGGCACAATAGCAGCAACTGAATCAATTAGCAATATGTAAATAAGTATTGTACCAGGATCATGCAACAATCTGAGCAATTTAATTATTTAAAATCATGCATATTGAGCACTCAGTGGTATGTGGGCTGTTTGAATGAAATAATGGAAATATATTGTGTGTGACTACATTCATGTACAGCTCTGGAAAAAATGAAGGGACCACTCCAAATGTTTCTTAAATCTCAATCTCTACATGTATAGCAGCCATTCCAGTGTCTGTTGAATTCCAACACAGAAAATGTTGTCACTAGTTTATAAAATAAAATAAATACGTTCATTTTACTCAAACAAATACCTATAAATAGTCAAACCAGAGAACCTGATCATGCTGCAGTGGTCTCTTAATAGTTTTTTTTAAAGTCACAGAGATGATCATTATTTCAATGTTTGTAGATCAATGTTCAGCCACAATAATTTTTCGGAACTTATATTTTTCTATCTTATAAGCAGAAAATGTGGTCGAATAAATTCTCTTTTCCTGATGAGGCGTTTCAGATTTTGATTCCCCAAGATTCTTGGCACTGTTTTTGGCAGGCCAGGAAAAACAACTTAAAACTACAACTGCCTCTCCCTTTCCTTATCACACTCCTCCAAACAAGTATTCTTGTTTTACACATGTACCCAGAGCAAGATATCCCCCCTTTCTATTTACCCAATGCCTACAGCAGATAACTGTCTCCAAACACTCCTTATCATGCTCCCCCATTGTTAATGACTCTGCTAATGACGTGCGTAATGAATGTCACAATCAACATTGCTGTGGGTCTTGCAATTAGGGGCTAACAAAAACAACGGGCAGGGTGATGTTGTCCATTGTAATGGGCCTTTACACCCCACAAAGAGCTCTGAAAGGTGGAGGGCATAAGGAGTCCGTCTACCAACCACCAGAAAAACTCCAGGTGTTCAAAAGGGAAGGAAAATTACGCAAATTGGCCTATAGATATAGAAGGGAGATGTGATATTGCTTAAATTCTGGGCAGATTTTTATGCAGTGCTTTTATAGTTTTGCATTTGTGCACACCAAAAGTAACAGGGAATAGGGGAAAAAGGGCTCGGGAAGGAAGTTCAAACACTGTCTTTTTTGTCAGCATGAAGTAGGTGTTACATTTGGATCATCAGTTTGGGAAAGTTACAGAAATGGTTGGACCAATATAACGTTACTTCCAGTCTTAAATCTAAAGTGAAGTCACATTGTAAAAGAGGTGTGAGGAATGCCTCAGAGCCATGTTGGTGCAGACATTACACACTGTTCACAAACAGGTGGAGGACAATTACACCAATGTTAAAACACTTTAAACCCCAGGCAGTTCCTGACTGATCTTAAGATGCTGATAATTATATTACTAGTCATCGTATTAGTATTACCTGTGAAAATAGTGGCAATAAAGGTAAAAATAAACAAATAGACCATCATTGCTGCTATAATGACACAATTGAGTCTTGACCTCATTGGTCATGTGCACATTTGTATGTGATGGAGGAGGGGCTCTGTAAGGAAATCTGAAGGAAGGGGCAGATTTTTTCCGGCTGCGTACTTTCAATATAGAGCGCACTCGAGCTGGTTTCTCCATTCTTACCCTACCTTTTAAGGGCGGAATATTAAAGTAGCCTTGACTCTGAAACAGCAAGAACTTGCTGCTCTGATCACCTGAGATCCTTTAGCTTTTTGAAACAGATTTCAGATAAGAAAAGTATTTCTTTATTTTCATTGTTCAACAACATCTATCTGGAATGATGTAGTAATTTATATCCTATCATTAAACTTTGTGTTGTCTCAAAAGTGAGGTACCTTCAGTTTTGCAGAAACAGATGTTAACTCATGTCAAGTTAAATGTTTTCAAAACGAAATCAGAGCACAATATAAAATATAAACTTTAATTTGCAGCATTTTACGGCAGCAAAACGTGGAAAGAAATTAAAGGGATGACTTACAACAAAGGTCTTCACTTTGATTTATCTGGGATGTTATGAGCACACTGCGCGCCCTCACCGGGCAACCACTAAAAGCAGTGGCTTCAGTTCTCAATAATGGTAATAAGAGTGCCTGGCTGACTCATAACAAACTCCCCATCTGTACTTTATTATTACTTAGAAATGGTGGCAGTTATTCTTTAAAGACACCTTTTGAAGATGGATGTATATTAATGATAATAAAATGCATTTGTTCTTTAAGGTCCATAGGCAAAAACAAATACACTTACCTCACTAATAAAAATAACCACAAATAACATAAACCTGTCACCAGATATTTCAACTGCATTTTGGTAAGGTTAAATAATGTTCTCGATAAGCTGTTTTCAATTGAAACAAGACGGATTAGTGTGACTCCCTCTGTAATGGGAAACAGCCATGTGTCTTCTTTGTGCCAGGTTTACAAAAAGGGAAGAAGAATAGGGTAAAATGAGAATCTGGAGCAAGGGTCACTCATGTCATGGCCAATGATCACAAATCAGGTCATTACCCATTATTAGGATTTTTAAATCACCATAAACAAAGAAAAAGGCTGTAAAGTTTACAAGATTTGGGTAGTAACTTCTTTAAAAAATATCACATATGATATGCATAACTCATACATAATTCTTATTCTGGCTTAAAAAAGTGATGATGTGTTTTTCTCTAACTTAATGACCTAATGAAATGTACTGCTTACCGCAAAACATGTTAAACTGGATAAATTAACACCACAATTATGTGAGATTGTCTGAAATCCCCCCGAAATCCCCAAACATCCTAGGTGCTAACAACTGATCTTTACAAAGTTTACATGACTTTCAGAACAATACCAATTCATTAAGGAGGGAATTCTGAGATTTGGCCAAGCTGTTAGATGTGGTAACAAAATCATTAAATGCACTGTTAATGAACTCCTTGCATCACCCAGTCAACTAAATAGTATGTAAAGTAGGGTGGGGGGTTGGGGAGGGCAGGCAATGGCCAGTCTTTTGGAACATCTTTACTGGACTAATAAA